AATGTGTTCAGCCACTTCTGTCAGAAGGGCTCAGACATCTGATGGGATTTCAGCAGCTAAACAAAAAAAAAAGCTGCTGAACAGCTTAGTGTTACAGTTGCATGATGTATTTTGGCAATCAAAACTGATGATTCATGACAGTAACAGATTTCATCACTCAAGAAGGAATAGGCAGAAACTCCTGGGTCTTGTGGCTAAAGTGTTTTTGAGGAGGGCTTATAGTCTTCATCAAAACATGAAATGGTGGGCATGGCAACTTGGCTTGGGATTCTGCAGAGTGCGAGCACGGCGATCGGCTGTGCAGCAGCAGGGAGGGTTAATTCCTTTGGTTTTGCCCTATGACCACTTGAGGATGGGAAGCATGATGAAATACTTTCTCAACGTATTCAATAAAAACTTATCATGAATAATTGGAGCAAAATAGAATAAATCAAGGCTTTTTTTTTTTTTTGGTCTGGTAATTCATAATTGAAACCACATGGAGGTTAGACTGATATTCAGAACAAGCCAGCTGAAAAAGCTTTACCCACAGAGGCAGGGGATATATATCCCTGTTTTGTGTAGATGTGTGGAGGAACTGCTTAGCTACTGTTCAACATACTGTTGCTCTTACCTTTGTGCTTCTACAAGTTAGTGAGTTCTTGTTCAAAATGTGTTGGTTACAACAGGCACCGGGTCTAGTTGCTGCAAATAAAATACACAAGGAGGAAGGCTCACTGTCTTGTTCATGGGAGCAGTGGCATTTTATACCTCTCAAGTGCTGTTGCTGAGTTTCCCTACTAAGTGATAGCTGGGAAATTCTTGCCTTTCGTCTCTAATATGGGGCATCTTACACAGCCTTGTTTTCCTAGAGGCCATTCTGGGATGCAATTTGTGTCTGGTGTGTCTGTCTTCAAGTCTCTTTCAATGGTACTCAGTGTATCATAGAATAGAATCCTAGAATCATTAAGGTTGGAGAAGACCTCAATGATCATCAAGTCCAACCGTCAACCCAACACCACCCAACCCACTAACCCATGTCCCCAAGCACCACATCTACACGTTTCTTGAACCCCTCCAGGGATGGTGACTCCACCACTGCCCTGGGCAGCCTGTTCCAATGCCTCATCACTCTTTCAGTGAAGACATTTTTTCTAATCTCCAGCCTAAACCTCCCCTGGCGCAACTTGAGGCCATTTCCTCTTGTCCCATCACTTGTTGCTTTAGAGAAGAGGCCAGCACCACCCCAATGAGAAGGTTTGGGGTAGGACCCCGTCTTAGTTGCATCTGGTATTTTGCCAATACCTTTGAGACTCTGTAGCAATCTTAACGCTTGGCTCCTTCTCAGGCCAGTTGTGTTCCTTCACGTCCCGAAGCTCCCATCTGTCTCACTTGTGTATTTTGCTGAGAACAGTCTGTTTAAAACTTGTGTGCTACCTTGAACCTGAAGACTCCACATGGAGTCCAACCTTAAGCATCCCTCATAATGATAATTCAACTCCCTTGACACCTTGTGCTTAATATATTGACTTTTCCTAAAATAAAATTGAGTTGTTTTTAATAACCAAGAGGGAGAGCAATATTTGATGTTTGTCTATAGTAGAGGAAGGTGCTTTATTTCTAAGGCATTACTGCGCGTGCACACTTGTGGAAAGAATGCACAGGACAGCTGCAGCAGTCTGGATCCATTCCTCTATGCATACCCATGCCGAAATTCTCTCTCCCCAGGTTCAGATGATCCCTAAATTCCCCCTGTCATTCAGGTCCCTCTACTTTGGCTTTTCATATGAACTGCAAAGAGCTGTCGGGCAACTGAGACTGCGAGACTTAAGTGCCATGAGATTGCTCTTAGGAAACTGCTGTTTGAACTTGATCCTTTTTGCCCATAAAAATGATTCACAGCAAATGACCTGTTAATCTTAGATTAATTATCCTGGCTCCTCTAATGATCTTAGCTGGGAGGGCAAGAGTGAAGGGTTGTCTTATCCGTAGCTGAGTGTCAGCACTTTGTCAAAGAAAGGTGATGAATGATCAATCCACTGTTGCTGTTTGCTCTTCCCTCTGAGAGTGAAAGTTCCTGTGAATTTCTGTCAAGAATGTTAATAAAGATGGGACTGGAGCAAATGTCCCTTCACCGCTTGGTTCCTTGAGCAACAATGGGGAGAACCCATCCCCTTGTCATTGTCCAGTTCATGCTTTGCTGCCATAATGGACATTTAATTAGGTTGCTGTTGAATTAATTGCCTGTATGGTTTGCTTTTCCCAAGCAGAAATCTGGAAAACTTTAGCAAATTATGGAGGTTTGAATTTGCCCGATTTCCTGCAGAAAGTGGGGTCAATAGGTCTCAGACTGTAGACACACTCTTCAGGCAGGCAGCGGGGGGTTGGCTCTTAATGGCACTTGAGAGATGCTTAATTGCCTTTTTGAAATGTTTTTCTGAAATGAGAGGCTTGGTTCTCCTATCCATTAGTGAGTGTCTACAGGCTTTTTCCTCCCTTCCTCGTCCTTCGGTAGATATATGAGCAAAAACACCTCAAAAGTTGCCTTATTTTTCTTAACTTACAACCACCAGGGGAGAATTTTCATGCCTTTCTGAAAGCATTAGAAGTTGGAATTTAAGCCATGTACCTAAAACGTAGGGTTTTAAGAGAAAGCGTGATAGTTTTTTAGGCATCTATGCATATGCTCACACACATACATCTGTATTTTCTTCTGTAAGTGCCTAAAATAACCCTAAATGATAGAAGAGGAATAATCTTTTTCCAAGGATGTTATAATTAATTTGTTAGGAAGTGCTGTGGCCAGAGAGAAAAGGTTGCGAGATGGACTTCAATTGGGAGCCATTAATTGAGGCAGCCCGTAAGCAGTAAATCCAGCATTGTCCATAGATTCCTGGCTGTTTCTTCTTGTGGGGCAGAAATGTAAGATTTTCTTGGCGCTCTACCGAGTATGATCTTAAACCTCTGCTTGGAGTATTAATGAAAAGAGGTTTCTGAAAGTTGTTTTAAGAAGCTGCTCGACATTACAAGGGTCATTTGGGTAATAGCAGTCTTGGGCTGGGGGTTGCGGGGAAACGAGTCTGTAAAGCTTTAATGAGATGGATTATGCTCTGGTTAACGTTTACATTGTGATTTACTGGAGGAATTAGGGAAGTTGGGGCAAAGTCAGCGGGCTGTGCCCATCTGCCACCAGTCGTCTTGTAAAATTAGCAAAAGTATGTATAAAAGCTTTAATTTTAGGTAATGTTGTAATCCATAAGCAGATTTGTCTCTGCACATGTCAGTTGCTGAAGTGATGGATACGTGTTTTTTACTGGGTGGAGTCCTCTGCTATCGCAGGCAGCCGTGTCCCTTTTGTGAACTGAAGTTCTGTTCCATGCTGTTACTATTTCTATATTATCCTGGTACTCCTGTTGGGTGAAAACTAGACCTTCGTGCTTTCCGTTAGGAACCTCACGAACAGTTCATGGTGAATGCTGCTTGTTCCGGATCCATAAAGTATGTGTAGCACAAGTCTAGTCCATCTTTCCAACTATTTTGGGAAATCTGCTAAAGGGTATTACTCCTACTGACAGATCCTTGCTGGGAATATACCCTGAGACCATCCTGGATAAACCGGTGTGTCAGTGCTCTGCTTTTATTTCTCCCCACTTCAGTGTTGACGTGTTCCTAGAAGGAAATCATATTCACATCGTATTTCTTTCTCCGTTGCCAAAATGATCAAAATGTTCTGATCTCTTTCAGTAAATAGGCTCTCTAGTCTCCTCCTCTTATGCTAGTTAGAGGAGCGCGATTGTTGAGCGGATGAAGTAACCCAAAGGCTAAATAAGGAAATGGAAAATTGCAAAGTTTATTTCCTAAAATATGAATTGATAACTTTGAGTCTGTAAAACTTACTTTCCTCCCAATACAAGCAGCCTTATGGTGTGAGTTTAGCTGGAGATTCTCACAGTGTTTCTGTAAACTGCTGGCGGTTACTAACCTCTTAGGAGTGTTCATGGTTTTTACAGGCTCGGATTCAACACTTCTCTGCAGAGCAGCATCACTCCGGTTCTGCCTTCCCAACTCCCCTTTTCACCTCTTCCCAAAAGGTCTTGTTTTTCCCTTTGCTTCTCTGTCCGACCCCTGCTCAGAACATCATCTGGAATGGAAAAGTAGGGACTGAAATGCCAGTGTTTTCATTCGTGTCAAATGGTCCCTTTGCTGCTTCTTCCTCCCCCGTGCTGCTGGCTCCAAAGGAGGTTGGCACATTCAGTGAGAGTTTCGTTGTCTGGCTTGGCTTTTGCCAGCTGAGCTGGCTTCCTTACGCTGGCAGTGTATTGAAGTAAGACCTTTAAAGTCTTAAAAGGGGTGCCATAGTTAAAATTCACAAGATAGCTCTCTGAAATTCATCTTTGCATCTCATGGCTTTGTTTTTTTGGTTTGGTTTTGTTGTTTTGTTTTTTTTTTTTAATGCAATAGGCGGTTTTTTCACTGTTGAACAAACACAGTTTTGTGGAAGCTAGTACATTATTCCTTTTAGTGACCGCTTTTGCCTTTTTTCCTTAAGTACGCATTGCATGCCAGGTTTATGTTTTTGCTGCTTTGGCTTTGTTGTTGTTAACTCTTTTTCACTTCTGAAATTGTAGTGCTGGTTAAGTTTCTCTTTGTTTATTGAGTCCTGACTGCAAACATAAATGCCTTCAGCTAGTGATTAGTAAATGAGAATCGAGCCATGCTAGCTGGGTTCAAAATTCACTGTGGTTTGCCTTCTCTGCAAATTTATCTGCCTCTTCCACTGTATTTTTCACCCAAGCCCCCTCTTGTTTGCAGTGTTAAAATGAAAATTGAATTGAGAGAGAGACTGGAAGAAACATTTTGAGAAATGCTGAAGTCCACTTTTGCCAGAATTGGAGAGTCAACCTGCCTGAGCTGAGCAAATTCCAAATCTGACTGTTAGCTCCTAGCTGTGTGAATTACTCCCTCCTGTGATAATCCACTTTGATTGAATTGTTTTCCCTTTCTCTTGTTTTCCTTTGCAGAAATGGAGCAGTGTGAGCAACCCACTCTTCCTCCCACTCATCCCACCGCAGTCCCAAGGCTTCACGGCCATCGTTCTGACCTATGACCGGGTGGAGAGCCTTTTCAGAGTCATCACAGAGGTGTCCAAAGTGCCTAGTCTATCCAAGTTGTTAGTTGTCTGGAACAATCAGAATAAGAATCCGCCAGAAGGTGAGACCCCGCGGTCGGTGTGGCGGAGGAGGGTGGAACTGGGGGTAGCGTGCTTGCTTGCACCTGTTACAGAATGACCTCTCTTGTACTCCGTTAATATGTCTTGGAAAACTATTTCATGGTTACTTTCAAAATAGTCAATTTGGATTTTTTTTTTTTATGGCAATGTTTTTGAAAGGGAACTGAGAAAAGCCGAAGTAGATTAAAAGAAAAAAGCTTACGCGTGGTTGTGCTGCTGCCTTCTGAATCAAAGGTAACAGACCCAATAGTTACAGAAATATTTCTTTCCTTAACTTTATTTTGGGGAGTGGTAAGGAGAGACGTGTCTTTTTACTTTATTTCTCTGTAGACACTCTCTCATCTCAGTGAATACTGCCTCTGCTAGACTGCTTCCTAGGGCAAATGTGGTTCAAAGCAGCACAGTTGTTCAAATGCTTGGAGCTATAAAATCAGTGACTATTTTGACTGATGAAGAGAAAACTTGGGACATTCTGGGTGTCTGAAAAGAAGTTTCTGCACCACCAGAATATCTTGTTAAAATGCTACAGCTAACCCAGTAAGACCAGACATACGTGCCTTTATTTCAATATTTCTGTTTCTGGTACACACAATACTACGTTGCTCTTTATAGTCTTTATGAGTGAGTCTGGTGAAGCCTGTGTGATCTTTTGAATTTTTGAATTCATGATTATTGTAATACGAGGGCACGTTCACAGACCTTTTCCCAAATGATTTAAATGTGTAGCTTTTTGGAAGAAGTCTTGGTTTCAAAAGTATATTAATGATGCCAGTGTGAACTCAGAGCTGTAAATCTCTGAATGAATTTGTTTAATTTTCAGTGGCTGAGGTGTGCTTTGCCAGTCTCCCGCCAGCTCCCTTTTTTCCCAGCCCTGGGCTGTCTGCCTCATGAGACCATGCTGCTCTTACTCTTCTCCCAGGTCCTTGACTGGAAGCGTAGGTCCTGACACTGGTGAATTCCTTTACGGAGTAAGTGGGAGAGCCAGGAGGCTGGGCCCGTGGTAATCCCCTCCGGCGCTAGACGGCTGCTCCAAGTCTGCTCACTTTATTTCCAAGCTTATCGCTTCCTAGGATGATCTTCTTCCAAGTTCTGAACAAAATACTGAAATCCTGAGCATTGTTGTGGGCAATTAAAGCCTCCTCTCCTCGTTCTTGATGAAGTACTGTAGATAGAGCAGCTGTGAGGTTGTTTGCTGTGTGCTGTACATACGAATGCATTGTTCTCATCTGAAAATGAGAGAAGAAATGTTGCCTTCTAGGAGTAGGTGTTTGAAAAAATGTTGTATTTGGTGGTACAGAACCTTGTGGGATTCTTCTGTAGGGAATGAAGAGTGTCATTAGGACTCCTTGCTTTGTACTTCTCTTCTCAGAGACTTCAGCTGCTGCAGTTTTCCACTCTTCGCAGTTAGCTATTCTGCATAGCAGCAAGGTACCATGTAAAAATTAATCCCTGACAGCTTGTCTTAATTTCCCATCTTCTAACAGCTTCTCAGAGCCAAGCCATTGCTACCATTCACTTGGCTCATTTGCCCTTTTGGCAACCTGCTCCAGTTTAAAGCAAAGTAGCTTTATTGTTTGCTTTAAAAAATGTTCTGTAACACTGCTGTGCTAACCACCTCGAGTTTAGTGGTTTATTAGATGTCTTGCAGTCCTTTAGAGTGAGGAGTGTTGCATATAAATTGATGATAAATGGGATTTTTGCAATTAGAAGGTTTTTTTTCTAAAAGCAAAAATGCTTAGTGTTATATCCAGTTGTGTGAGCAGTGAATGCAGATGGATTTAACCCAAATGGGTTAGTTCCACGTTTCCCTTACATGAGTCTGAGATACAGGAGAGTCGAAGCAAGGAAATCGTTAGAATGATCTTTTTTGTTAAATCATTCTATTAAACTTGCATTTAGAAATTCTTAAAAATTAAAGTGTTTAATTTTTTTCCTGCCTCAAATACCACTAAGTCATAAACTAGTTCAAAGAACCAAACCAAACCCTTTGCCTGTAGAGCTTGAAATTGTGGGTTTGAGAGCACAGTTTTGCCCTTATTATTAGCCTAAGCATTGCACTGAAGCAAATAACTATTTGTTTCTAGTGTCGCTCGTCCCTTTATTGCTGTTATAACCATTGTAATCTCTTGGCCTATTCCTAGAGAGAGGTCAGTTTGATTAAATTAACTTGTTTTATTCCAGGTCCAGCAGGGCATTCCACTTGGCTCTTCAGCCAGTCTCTCATTCAGTCAGTCTATTAGTGATCCTAATCCTCGGACTTCAAAGCTTCTGCTGTTTATAGCCTGTTAAAGCCAGGAAGTTTCTGATGGATTAGAGCATGGAATGAGTTTGAAGTTTGTAATGTGCACCACTGTCACTGATAAAGTCTGGTTTATTACCCTACAGTAGTATCTGCACTTTTATGGCTATTTGCTTTTAATTGGTCATACTAAAGCTGAGGCACTTAGCCTCCCCGAGCATCACGTGCTGAATTTCCTCGTCCTTTCCTTGGAAGGGTTTTGGTACAGAAGCAAATCTTGGCTTTTGTCTTTGCAACCTTTTGTGTGTTTGTTTTGTTTGACATGTGTAAGTGGGAGGGCTGGGTGAAGGACGTCCGACTTGTCTCCCTTAGTGATTATGTGTGGTTAATTGAGGATGGGATTTAGGGCTCACAAATATGACATGTGGCTGCTCCTTTCTTTCTTCCATCAACACCAGAAAAATATTAGATTGAAGATGATGTTGTTATCGAAGCAGTATGTATTGGAAATAGAGGGAATCTGTCCCTAGGAATGGAAAATTTTGAAGAACATGCAAATACTAAGACGAATGTTGGTTTTGGTTGGTTGTTTGGTTGGGTTTTTTTTACTGAATGCATACGTACTTGTAATAATGTCTTTATGTAATGAAATTCAGCAACCTCAGGACTTAAGAGGAAAACAGAATAAAAATGCAATATTCTCTTCTAAATATTGTACAAAATTTAAGATGCTCCACCCCTTAACAAATGGGACATGCCATAATATGATGTTGGAGAGCGGTGCGTGTTCAAGTCTGAGCTCATCATTCTGAATTTCCTTTAGAATCAGCGAAAAGAAACAAACTCCTCCACTGAGCCTGCGTTGGGTATTTATTTTACATTGAATTAAATCGTCCCTCCAGAAGGACTCTTTTTTCCTAGTACAGGCTTAAATGACTCATCTGAAGTCACCTGCCTGCCTGCTCTCAGTTCCTACTTGTTTTGCCATGCGGGTGCCTGAACACAGGGAAGGACACATAAACTATCTCACAAGGTTCTTGAGGAATAAACAAAAATTAAGGAGCACTAAAAACCCCAATGTTTCTGTTATTTTTTTTTCTTGGGCAGATAGTTCTTACAGCTAGGACACTGACCAGACCCAGCTTCTGCCTGCTGAATGGGAGCAACTCATTTCTTACTGTGTCTCAGTTTCCATGTCTATAAAATTAATCCAATAGTATTGTCCTAGATAAAAAGTTTCAAACTGCTATGTAAGTAGCATTATTCATGGCATTATTTAGGTAGAAGCCGAGATTTCTAATTAGAAAGTCAGTGTTTGTGTTAAAACCAAAGCAAAACACAAATACATTAAAATATAAATAATAAAGGAAAAACGTCTTTTTACAGGTTTAATTTACTCTGAGTACCTTCAAAACATTTACAAATGTGGATGTATCTTGGCCGTATAACCAGCAGATTAAGTGGTTATTCCCATTTTACAGCTTTAGAAACTCTGGGGTATACAGAGCTGAAGTCTTCCCCATCACCTGCAGCTTCAAGGCAAGGGAGAGATTACAGAGGGTCCTGTGCTTTGAGCTTTATTTTGCTTTGTTCAACACACTGCCTTCCCCTACTTTCTGTTTGAGAGATGCCACAGACATAGGTATGTGCACAGACTATCAGGCTCATGGGTATTACTGCAGTAATCACCTTTGTATTGCAGTTTGATACTGTTAATGGACAATATTGATATAAAACACTGGGGATAAGGAACCTGGATCACTGGATCTTAAGAGAGTGTTAACTTTAAAAAAAAATTTATTAAAAACATCTTCAGTGGCAGGTTTTTTGCATCTGTGCCTTTACTGTTCAGCACTGGTAGGAATGGGGTTTTGAACTTCTCTTTAGGTTTTGAATTAATTTGGCTTCTTGATGATGGAATTAGGTTTTCCTTGATTAGCTAGTTAATTGATGACAATTTTAGTGTTCCATGAATTATCTTACTAGAATTTTTCAATGTTATTTCCCAAGGAAGTCTAGACATTTAGCTTAATAAACCCAGCTTAACAGAACTGGGCTTTAAGTTATGTCCTAGAAGCTGTTTTTATATTTTGTTATGTTTAAGAGGAATTGTGTGCATGACAGTAGACAAATATAAAAATTGTAATGCAGGTAAAAAGCACCTGTTTTGAACAGATAGTTCTAAGTTGATGCATTGAACCCTGGAAGGGTTTTTCCTTTTTACAATTCCAAGTGTGCTCAATAGAAGTGGTGGGAAGTCTGAGCTGATGCCGGGTTATCGGCAGTCATGAGATGCTCCTAGCTGCTGTTACCGAGGAAGTAAAACAGGAAAAGCGCGTTTGTATGAGTCATCAAAATGCCGTTATTTTAGCCAACAAGTGAGTTTTTTTATAGATTTTAATTTGTCATAATGCTCTTAATACTGGCAAGAATCCAGTTCATGCCATCCAGAGCGTACACTGTATTTCCAGCTCCTCCTCGTTATCCTCACCTGCTGCTTCCGATTTTAAATACAATAAACCAGCTGCATTCAGGTATCGCTTGCTATTTTTGAACTTGATACTACTGAGAATGGGTGTCCCAAGAATACTGGTTAACTCTGCAGAGCAGCTGTGTTGATCTTCACTTAAAGTTGAATGTTGAAACTGGAAGTGGATGATTAATAATCAGAGCAAGCAATTTCCGATATAAAGAACACTTCTGTCTGCTGACTGGATGGGTAACAGTGCATCTGCTGCTAAAGGACCCCCTCAGATGCTATTAACTTCCCGGTTTCTCAGAAGCAGGGGTACAGAGAATGATGCTATTTAACACCGTGATGGTGCCATTTCTCTTTGAAAAGAGATAATAACACTCTGTGGAAATATTAATCTATTATTTCTAATGATGCCTTTCTCATGTATGATGTAACGGTTCATTTCGAGATGCGAAACAGGGCTGGATTTCAGACTAAGAATTAATTTTTATATATAAGCATTTCTCAAGCTTATGTCGCATTTTTGTTACAAACATCTGTTGGCAAGCCTAGGGAGGTGTGGAGAGTGAGAGGGTTTTTTGGTGTGAGAGGGTATTCCTTTAGGTTATTGTGAAGTTGCCTTTCTCCCTTGGTTGTCCTCCCTTCTCTTCCTCATGTCTTTCATGTAATTCACTGGGAGTTGGAGCTGAGAAATGCATATTGACCGGGGGGGGGGGGGGGGAAAAAAAACGGCTCTTCTCTATGAGTGTTTTAAATGGGAATGTAATTCTGCCACTTGTTTGATCCTGCGGTTTATGGAAATCATCTTGAAATCATGCTTGAAAAATGTGCTGTGAGATGTGGGCTTGCAGGAGCTAACGGCGGGGCCGTGGCACAGACAGGGCTGTGGGGGGGAGGGGGTGTAAGTAGGGGTTGTAGCCCATTGGAAGTGGAAGCTGCATTTGGCAAAGTTGGGAAGCGGCTGCTTTTGTGTTTAAAGACAAAATGCTGTTTTCTGGGAGCAGCTCCTGCAATCAGTGCATCAGTAATCCTAAATCACACAAAGTGCCAAGAATGCCCTGAGTCTTGTTGCCAAAGAGCAAGTGTAAGTGTTCCACAAACACTCTTCTCTCGTCATTATTTCAGTCCCATGTGCAATAGGAGCTGCCTGTCATTCTCTTCAGATTCCGTGTATACATAGACTTTTATACACTCCAGAGAGCTTTATTTCCATATTTTACCTCTGTCTTCTTCTGATCACACAAAGTCCTCACCGGTTTTAAAAGAATTAAGAATAATTCCTAGTCCAAACATGCATTTTTTTACTCTTTTATTTCTCATGCCATCTTGTAACACTTCAACTGCCTTAGTGTCTTGGGCTTTTTTGGTCTTTGTCATGCTCTGTTAAATGATGCAGTGCCCTCTTACTGTAAGAATAAAACATGCTTTTACCATGGTTACAATGAAGTCTACTAAACTGAGAATTTCTGCCATGTATGTTTTGCTAATGCTGAGGTTTCTCATAACTTTTGCAGCAGTACCTGAAAATTCAGAGCAGGGTATTACAGAGGTGGCAGACTGTCTCTGACTTCTCTTTAAGCCATGTTCTTCCTATGTCTACGAAAGAAAAGTAAAAATACTTTTCTTTTGTGTTCTTTTAAAATAAAGAGACAGTTTCAACCTTCCTGATGGATTCTAAAACTTTGACTTCTGAAGTAGCTGTTGTCTTTTTTTCTTGACTTTTCTTTCTTTGTGACTTGGGGCAGCAGGGCTAATTGTGAATACCTGAATCTCTGAGTGGAGCCTGCTGTCCTTTATTTTGCCGTAGTCATTTTTGCCCAGGCTGCTGAAATGTGACAGCTACCCAGGTGACATTGTGTCATCACATTTCCCATCTCTGCAGGTACAGCAGCCTTCAGGATCGGAGCAGCCTCTGGGCAGCAAGTCATCCTATGCTTTCTTTCATCTTGCTGCAGAGTAACTGGTACCCTGATGTCATATTCCAATTTTCTCTGAAATGCTAGTATTTTCCATTCATTAAGTCCAAATTCTGAAACTTTCTATTCTGTTTCTCAAAGCACAAATATTTTACAGCATCATACCTCTTTTTGAGGATTGGTCACTTTGAGAGGCTTTCCAAGCCCTTAATAAATCACGTGGGTTTAACAGGATTTGCTGATACCTGAGATGCATGCTGGTTATAATTAGATTACACCTTCATTTTTCATACACTTTTCATTACTTTTTCTTCTGTTACCATATTTTTATGTAAGTGGTGTGTCTATTAGTAAGCTAGCAAACAGTTGATTTGACCAAGAGCTAGAATTTTAAAACATCCTTGCTTGCTTACTTTTCTGTATTATTATTTTTCAATCCTAGTGGTTTTTCAGTTTCAATTTTTGTTCCAGTGTATTCCTGCACTGGAATAAGATCTGTGTTGCCATTTGGTTGTCTTTTTATTATTATTATTATTATTATTATTATTATTATTATTTGTAGCCAATGTGAAAGGAAGAAAAAGCCTGAATGAAAAGAGTAGTTAATGTATAAAATATAAACTGTGTGATATTTATAAATAAAAATTCACAAATGCAAACCTATGGCAATTCCAATTGATGCTGAAATCCTTGTGACTCTAGAGTCTTTTGGGGATCTAGCAGGCTGCTTACAATTATAATTGGATCATTATAGGCAATTAGCCTAAGGTCTTTAAATAGCTTGCAAGCATTAAACAGTATACAATCTTTATGAGGCCATGGTATTTGTGTCTTTGTGAGGTACCTGGAACTGTCCTACAGATACGGATACTTGTGTGTTGTGTGGTGAACCAGTACGAAAGCGGTGAGTTGACTTGAGAGCACTGATTTGCAATCAACAGTTCCAGGCGTTCAGTGTAAGATGAAAATTTTGGAATTTCAGTGGTATCCTACTGGCATCGTTTCAGATTATGTTTCAAGCAGGGGATTTCAAAGACCTTACAACGCTGAGAATGCAGTGAGCTCGTTGCACTGTTATTGGAATTGAACATTTTTGTTGTGGCCCCAAGGCACTTTCAGTGTCTCCCCAGCTGCCGGCTGACCATGACTTCCACCGGCGCCCATCAGTAGCATGGTAGAATCCTTCCAACTGGCTGCTCATCAATATTAGAAGTCACTGAAGTGTGCATCAGTGTTTGGGGTGATGCCTCTTGCCTTCTGCTAGAAGGAAAAGAGGTGAATAAAACAGGACAAGAACCTACATACATGTCAAATCCAGGCCATGGTCTACAAGAGCCCCCAGATAAAGGTAGATTTTACAGTCACTTTTTCTGTCTCAAGGGAAAAAGCCTTTCTTTTGGCTACTCATGCATGCCAATCCATCTTTCTAAAATACAGCTCCAAGAAAACAGACTTTCGAAGACTCTCAGCATGGTTTGGAAAGGCAGCTTCGTTTTCCCAGGGAAGTAGTGTGTGGGCTCTGGTGTCTTTAAGCAACAAAGATGTACAGAATCTGTCCTTGTTAACTTCTTCCAGAGGTTAACCACTGTTCCTTCTTGAAATGTCTGCCTTATTTATACTTTGGATTTGCCTGGCTTCAGATTCCAGGCATTGTTTTTTGTTATGTCTTTCTCTAGTTGGTTGAAGATATGTGGCATTTTTCTTCCTGTGTAGATAACTTGTGAATCAAATCCACTTTTTGTTTCTTCTTTTAATAAGCTAAACAGATTGATCTCCAAGTTCCACCATAAGGCGTTTTCTCCTGCCCTCAAATAACTGACGCGGTTGTTTCCTGCACCATTTCCAGGCTTTTAACATGCTTTGAAAAATATGCCAGAAGCAAACAGTATTGTAGCATCTATCTGACCATGTCTGCATACAGGGACAATCGCCCTCCGCTCCCCCTGCCCCGTTTCTTGCTCCTTACCCATCTCCATACCCAAGAATGACATGAACTCATTTTGCTCCCGCAGCATGCTGAGAACTCAGGTCCACTCTGACCCCTTAATCCTTTTCAGCAGCTGCTTTTAGGGAAAAAGCTGCCTTGCTCATAGTGTTTAGCTATATGTTGAGTTGTGTTGGTCTATTCGAGTGCACCTCGTTTACTGAGCAGTCCAGAGTGCTTTGTGTGACCTTATTGTCCTCACTGTTTCCCATGTCTCTGGGCTTTCTGCCACTTGCAAATGGCACTGGCAATTTAGATGTATTTCAGCCCACCGATGAAAATTTTGGTGGCTTTAGGCCCACTGTCACCTCTTATCTATTCCACTGACCACAGAATCACAGGGTGGCTGAGCTTGGAAGGGACCTCTGGAGATCATCCCGTCCAACCCCCTGCTCAGGCAAGGTCCCCTAGAGCAGGTTGCACAGGCCATCTCCAGGTGGCTTTTGAGTGGAGACTCTCCACCGCTTCCTACACGGGTGCTTGGTCACCCTGACTATGGAAAAGTGTTTCCTCATGTTCAGAGGGGACCTCCTATGTTTCAGTTTGTGCCCACTGCCTCTGGTCCTGTCACTGGGCACCAGCGAGAAGAGCCTGGCGCCATCTTCTTGACGCCTTCCCTGCAGGTATTGGTACATATTGACGAGACCCTCCCTGAGCCTTCTCTTTTGTAGGCTATGCAGGCTCAGCCTCTCCTCCCAGGACAGAGGCTCCAGTCCCTTTGTCATCTTTGTGGCTCTTTGCTAGACTCTCTCCAGTATGTCCCTGTCTGTCTTGCACTGAGGAGCCCAGACCTGGCCACAGTCCAGGTGTGGCCACACCAGTGCTGAGTGGAGGGGAAGGATCACCGGCCTCGAGGTGTCTCCTTATCCGCATTTTCATTTGACACAGAGAAGAGATTATAAATTCTCTGAGCGGTGGCTTTGTAGTTGATTTAATGTATTTTCAGTTGTTTTTCTTATCGTATACTGAATTGTTTAAGATGTGAAGAGAGTAATGAGAAGGTAAGACAGATGTGCAGGCGTGTTTGGAAGTAGTGTGTAATATTGAATTCCATTTTTTTAAATTTTTATCTCTAGATTCCCTCTGGCCAAAGATTCGTGTTCCCCTGAAAGTTGTCAGGACTGCAGAAAACAAACTTAGTAACCGCTTCTTCCCCTACGATGAGATTGAAACAGAAGCGGTGTTGGCTATTGACGATGATATCATCATGCTGACTTCGGATGAACTCCAGTTTGGCTATGAGGTAAGAGACTTGTTTTTTCCTGTCTCTTAAGCTGGCCACGTCAACATTGCATGTGTCTGTGAAGTGGAGGAATCACTGCACAGTCTGCTGATTCAGGTTGTTGCATCTCTCTTTACTGTAGCAGTTCAGTGCTGACCGAAATATTTTTTACAGTTAGTCATTGCTTTATGGAAAAAGCTGCCAGCTAACAGAAAAATTTTTGGTAACTGGCACAGTAATGCCAAAAGACTACAGAGAATGTTGTGTAATTGGTGTAACGCGATCAGTCTGGAGACTGTGAATTGCATTCTTCTTAACGGTTTCAGAAAGTTTTCAGACAGGTCAGAAGTGCTATCCAAGTTAACGCAACTTGATGGACAAGACAATTTTCGGAGATTAAGTGTTGGGAACAGAGGAGGCCTCTTGAGGACATGCCAAAGTAAGGTGGAGCGCAGTCAAAAGAGGAACTGAGGAATGTCAAGGAGGGGACACGTGTATCGTATGCTTGAAATGACAAAGCTTCAACAGCTGCTGTTGTAATGAAGGTATCAACAAATAACCAGTTTGTCCAAATCAGTTACCCATGGCAGTACAAAGAGGTGCAAGTCTTCAAAGGCGTTTGAGTTGTTTATTAAAAGGTGTGCTTACTTAAGCAACACTGTTGTCTTCCATCCAAAACTTTGGTTTGAATGAGTTAATTTTTGTCTCCCATACAGTCCATGATCTGACATTACTGTTATATGTGTGTATTTAAGACAAACATGCTACACTTGTAAATAGATCTGAAATGTTAGAAAATGTAATCTATTTTAAGAAAGATTTGACTCATTTAGCCCCACCTGTACCTGCAATATCAAGAGCAAAACAACACCAGGCTTCCTGAGAGCTAGGACACAAATCTATTACGTAAACTGAGGGAAATAATGAAAACCACTATTCTAAAGGGTGGAAAGCAAACTAAACGTGATAGTTGTCTCATTTTTAACAAGAAGATATTTTTGAAGAGCTGTTGGAAGTATTTCTTTAATGTGAATACAGACATGGTAAAATATGGCTCTTTCTCCCTCTCAAGTGAAAGAGACTGAGCAAGTAACGAGCTTTTGGATTCAAGAAATGGCTTGTGGTAATGTAAGGTATGCTGATGTAATAACAAAGATGTTAGGTGGTGGAGACAGAGGTTTAATCTATCATGTGTGTCTCCAGAAAGGAAATACTTTCCTTGCCAGGTTAAGAGTAACGGGTTCGTCCATGAAGTGTGAAAGATGGCATGAAGAGAAGACAACTGAAGGAAGGGTGTTTTGGCCCCACGTGCCTTCTCTATGCTCCCTTGTCTGCGCTGAGTGTTTAAGCACTGCACTGCAACCGCAGAGCAATCAAGGGCTGGCAGTTCTGTAAGCTTGACTTCCTTTTGTCTGTGTCGGTGCTTAGAGCTACTAGTTTTGAGGGTGAACTGATGGGATGAAAGATAGCAAATCCATAACGTGCATGCTGTGTAAATCCTGGCTCTGCTTCCAGTTTGATTTTCATTTTCACTGAGCTGTCTCAAAGTTTCATAAAAACCTAAGTGACTATGTAAGTAGTTCCAAATGAATCTCTGCTACTGGGAAAGCAGGCTTGGAGGGCTTCGGAGCGGAGAATCCAGCTGCCGCTGAGTTTCAGCTGTGTCAGCCAGAAGTTGTGAGTAGAACTGTGGTGCTCGTGTGTCTGAAGCATTGATTGAAACATCCTCGATGGAGAATATCTCTTAAGTTCGTAGCTGTTGAGTCCGGTCACTTAGGCAGGAAAGGATTATCCTCATGAAAAAAAAAAAACAAACCTGAGGCAAAGAAAAGTTGAAGTGAATTCCCCTGTAGTCCGTGTGATTAGGTGGCGGTTGGGACTTGCAGCTCTTCACCCCCAGTCTGGCTGTTGGACTCTGCTGGCTAATTTATTGGCCTTCTGTGGACCATATGCATTGGTTGCAAGGACTATCTGGGTAACAGTCCATATATTCAGTGTGTGAATGTAGCTGTTTGGACATGAGATTATTTAGTCTGGCAGACTAAAACCAGTTGCTTTTGCATTTTTTTTGCATTTTATTATAAATCCTGTTCCTTTTTGATTCTGGGAATTCAGTTTACCGCACAGCCGCATTGATGGAAAGTTAAAATGCCTTATTGAGCAGGTAGCTGGGACAAACTCAAGGTTAGTTTGAATCCTTATATTTTGAGATTACTTTTTTTTCCCCACGGTAAAATGAGTAGAAATGTCTTTGAATATAGAAGCACAGCAGATTATTTTATAAATACACAATTTTCCTCGTATAGAGGGTGGGTGATGTAGTCCCTACTCTCTGGCACAGAAGCCAGGGGCTGAAGATGGATCTTTCCTGTCCCTGAGTGTCTGTGACTTGCTTGACAGGCCTGAGCTGGCTCCCAGATGTTTGAATTGTCCTCAGCCTGTGATAATTTATTTGTCTGTTTGTGTGTGTTACCAGAAAAGTATTTCTCAAGCCCTTGACTCATTTGCAGGGGAATCCAGAGGGACCAGTAGCAGCATATAATGTTACTAGAAAGTTTTCTTTTAAAAGTATGTCTGCTTCTGCTTTGGTCGTAAGAAGGGCTGGAAACGTGACATTCAGTAATTTTCTTTTCTCCTCCTGACATCCTTGAGACTTTACATTTAAACATGTGCAAAACCCCCTCTGTCACAGGCTTGTCTGAATGTATAGAGCAAGCCTAAAAAAATCAGAAAACTTTGATCTCTGTACACTTTCAGCCATAAAAAATTATAGTAACACTCAAAGTGTCAGGCATTTTTGACTTGTTAAAAGAGAACTATTACGGTTAAGTGATTTATGGCGTCGCGTAGATCTATTGGAGCACACAGAAACATAGTCCCTGTGTGCTGCTGCATTAAGGTAGCAGGAGAATACTCATGACATTCTGACTTTGAAAGAAGTATTTCTGTGAAGTTATGTGATTAAATCATAGGTGTGACTCGGGGCATGGGGGAAAAAAACCAGTTAGGATTAGACAACTTTTTCCCCACTTACCAATCTTTGTTGTTTACGGATGGAGTATCAGAGAGACCCAAGAAGAGAAGTATTTAGATTATTGTAGTCTTAAAAAATTAAAGCAGAACCACTGGCTGCTCCTGAAGTGTTTGGTGTCTGAATGCGAGATGGAAAGCGTGCGTTGCAGCGTTCCCACCCCCCGTGTCTCAGCTGGCCTTGGGGCAGTGAATTAGTGTTTTATCACCCTGGAAAGTGGGGATAACAGTTTCCAAGCATGAGGTTCATGAAGTTTTCTTATTATGTACTTCTGCAGCACTTTGTCCTTCCAAAGTATTTTTATTACAGCAGTAATAGAAATAATCTAAATGGGGATTATTGCTCTGAGTCCATGGTTTTTGTTCATAGAAAATATTGTTTGGTGCGTTGCTAAGTTTGTGGTTTTTTCTGTTGAAAGCTTTTTGCCTTCTGCTAGTAGATGATCTTGTTCTGTCTCAGAGCTGTTTTTCAGTGCTTCATGTCTCTGGTATTCTTTAAAAAAAATAAATCAATTCTCTGATGAATTGCATATTTCACTAGGTTAAAATCATCATGAAGTTTGAATGTCTTCTTCTTCCATACGCATTTTGACTGTTAGAAATATATTTTTCAGCATTCCTTTGTAGGAGGAATACTATAACTCTGGTTATTCAAGACTTATCCATGGCCACATTCAAAGCTCTAATTAAAATTGAAGTTATTTTACAAATTTTGTGTGTGTGTGAAGCATCACTTATCCTTTAATGGTCTTTGTGTTTACATTTTGCTTTGGTTTTTAGTAACAGCACAAGCCAGGGGAGAATTCCGAGTGGATGGGGCTCTGGGAGCATAGTCGGTGTTCCATTCTTACAATGTTGCCGTGGTCGCTTTGGAAATGCTGATTATTTTTCTGTTTATTAAATTTAAAAATTTTCTGGTTGCAATTGGCCAGTTCCTGAAGTTGGTGTCTTTTACAAGATGTTTACTGAAACTACCGAGTCAGAACTTCTGTTTGACTTTTCATCTGGGAGGTGCTTCGTCCAAAAATATTTATCTTCAGGGTTGTCTAGCAGAGTCCTTGGAACAGTGTTGTCCGTGAAGAAGCATACCTCCTCTTCGCCTGGCAATATGTTTTTCCTTGGCTGTGTCCCTTACCGGTATTAAATCAGGCTGTCCTTCTTTAGTCTGAGAAAGCTAATAAGATCACTGGCTCAAATGGGATGTATTCCTAACAGACTAATAAATTATAGGCAACCATCAAACAAGAAAATGGACGGTAGTACAAAATAAAGAGTAGTATAAGAATCATTACCACTATTTTTATTCTGAAAGCTTCCTTATAAGCAGTAGCTGTACGTATTAATTTTGGCACAAAACATATGTATGGATTTGGGCAGTGAGCTGCACGCAGCTCTCTGGAGCCTTTCCAGGAATTACCATTGAATTGAGCTACTGATAAACATGGTGAAAAAGCCAAACTTTTCTATGAACTTTAATAGCATTCCTTTTAAAGGGGATCTTTGTTTAAAGCAACCAAATAATTTTTTAGATGCATCGAACTGACTATTTTCAGGGGCCAGAATCAGGGTAGGATGGAGCTTTACAATGATACAAAGAAATCTGTATGCGTAACATGCGTTATCGTTGGCTTTTATTTTATGTCATGTGGACATAAAAGATGAAGATGACAGCAAGGGCAAAAACTAGAAGGGATATGAACCTACAGTTCTGTGTTGTGAAGGCACTGAAGTCCCTTGGGAAGCAGTAGCAGAGTTTAATCTTTCTTTCAGCTGCCTTTAATATGCATGCCATTCCCTTGACAAGAATTCTTATCCCAGTACGGTGCAGATCTGGAGCGTTCTGTGAAATCCTTTGTTGAGCCTCGGTAGCTAGTGGTGCCTCCCAGCAGCTGGGAGATGGACATTTTAATAGTCAGGTTTTAAAAAATATTAAAATTAAATCATTAATTTTTGGGGTCCTAGAGAGTGAGGAATGAAAATTTGGCAGAGGGAGTGGCCATACCGTTATGGTTTTGGTCTTTATTAGTGTTTTTGACATCATGTCTATATAGATATCTCAAGCCCTTACTGACTTGCCTGCCAAATAGCTGTCTTTTTTTTTCATTACCTGATGGCACCAACTTCTAACAACATCCTGTGAATTCTCTTCCTTGAGTTCCAAATCGTCTCTGCTTTCAAGAGCCCTCTGTGTCAGAGCGTTGTCCTGTCTAAATACTATCCCAGGACTTGTGCCCTCGAACTGTCTAGAAAGATGGATTTCTGGATGAAATACAAGTTGGAGAAGCAGAAGATCTGGTTCCCATTCTTGCTTCCTGTATGATTTTTGGCAGGTTTCCTCTTCTGTATGTTTGAAATAACAACGGCTCTCATCATGGGATTCTGAAGCTATATTAACTGACAGCAATAAAATGTGTTGAGACGTGTAGATGAAAAGGTATATAATAATGCACAATCACAGAAATGTAGATACGGGAGCAGTAACTTGCAGCTGATTGTTTTATCATATTTACTTTGACAAAATACTAGCACAGAGTCCTTATAGTCCAGGCCCGCCAAGTGAAACGTACTGGCACAGAGAAAGTGCCCAAAGGGAACTGCTGACCAAGCGAGGTTTGCAGGGTGGTGGAATTCCAGGTAACACTTTCTTTACAGCAAATTCAACTTCGGGGTTCCCTTGCCTTTTGTACAGAGCAAAGAGGTTTGATAGTGGAGTGACCGTTGGGGATTTATGGAATATTTTGTTGGTGATCTTGCATACACAATGAAATTTGGGTGTTTGTTTATCGGCACACCACTAACATGAAACAGAAACTCCGGTGACCTGACGCTGTGTGTCGGAGACTCAAGACTTGTATTCTTCCAAGAAACCTAGCAGTTATTTGAGTTAAAGGATGAATTTAGAGTAATTTGCAACTAATGCAGATAAATAACTTCATTATTGATCAGCAAAAAGACACTCTGTGTATTTAGCAAACAGATAATGTTCACACCTTTCTAAATAATTATAATACTTTCTCCCTTTTTTCCTAACGCAAAAGTTGTCCATTATTTAATGTGTCCAGCAGTGTGGAGAACTGGGGTTGCGTTAATGATGCCCTTCTCCTTGTTCTTGTCTACCGTGTTTGATCCTGTGGTCAGCTACAAAATAACGGATGGAGTGACAAGGATGGGATCTTGATTGTATCCAGCTGTCTGGAACAAGCCAAGGGCAAAGAGGCCTCGCATGTAGCCGTAGATCCATCCAAGCACCCACTAAAGAATACCAGAAATATTAAAATATAAGCTTGTTGTAAGCCTGTTTCTATCAAAGGAAGCAGGTTGGTTAAATCCAAAGCCAGCTGGGAAAGTAGTTAGGTTGTAGCTATATCTACTGAAGTGAACAGCAAAAGTTCCATTTTAATCATCCTTGGGTTTAGTTAGTGTTAAAATCTTTTTGAATAGTTGGTTGTATTTCTTTACAAGAAGGAAGTTAGTATTGCTTGAGTGGCCTTTTGCTCGGGGGTATGGCTTCCCTGAGTTGTAGGGTCTTTCCAAAGCAGGCTTGGGTTTTTTTGGACTTCTTCCAGGTGGTTTCAGATTTCAAGAATTGGGACATAGAAAAAAATTGAAGTGGTCTTTGCACGGCTGTAACTCCACCCTCCCAAAGCAGGTGTGTTACATCCAGGCGTTTGTGTTTGCTTGCAGGTTTGGCGTGAGTTCCCCGACAGGTTGGTTGGCTATCCAGGCCGCCTGCATCTTTGGGACCATGAGATGAACAAATGGAAATATGAATCAGAATGGACTAATGAAGTCTCCATGGTGCTCACTGGGGCAGCGTTTTATCACAAGGTAACATACAGCTTGTCGTATACTAATGTACAGCATGCACCTGTTCTAACGAGCTGTGTGTGGTTCTGACATTGTTCTGGGAGTGGGTTTTGGTGCCATGATGATGTTTTCTGCAACAATCAGGGAACCAATTGCAAACTTCCCTAAGCCATTTTCTCTTTCAGTTGTTGTGGAAACAGCTGATTTGTCTCTGCCTGTAAACCAAAGCTGTTTCCTTCATGAGCTTACGGAAGAACTCTTGCCAGGTTGCATGACTTGTACCTACACTCACTGTAAAATTCACTTTGTAGCTAGCAATTTAAGAAAAGAAAACCAATTGTAAAGAAATCTGTGTGCTTGTCAGGAAAGGAGGAATTATGCAATTAAGCACTCAAAAATGATTTTCTATTTGCTAAAGTAGTCCTTGGCTAAAGGCAGTGTCGCAGTTTGCCCGTAATCCATCCTTAGCTGCCTGCTGTTCAGGGACTGAAATATTTAGAGTCTGACAGTTACTGCATCTGTATTTAACATTATCTTCTCTCTCTCTCCCCCTCCATCCTGCAGTATTTCAACTATCTTTACACATACAAAATGCCTGGAGACATCAAGAACTGGGTGGATGCTCATATGAACTGTGAAGATATTGCCATGAATTTTCTAGTGGCAAATGTCACTGGCAAATCAGTCATTAAGGTGGGACTTTTCTGCAGTTCAGCTTGACAACGTTTAAAAACATGATGTACATACTCATAGAAATTGATTTATATTACTTCATCTTCATTTTTCTCTCTTTTACCCTGGTATGGGGTCTTGTTCTCCTTCCATGGTAGAAAAGCCCTTTTAGTAAAAATTTGTGCTCACTGGGAATAGAGAATTGTTTTTTACCAGTTGTTTCTGGTGGTTATTTTAGCTATCTCGATGAGGTATGAAAAAGGTAATTTAAATTATAGCTCTCTATATATATATATATATGTGTGTGTGCCTATATATACACACCCACACACATATATTTTAACTATTTGAGATCACTAGAGGAAAGAAATTGCCAACTGTCCACAGCTTGCTCTGTCATGGCGCAGCAACAGCTGATTTATAGGAATGTTAATTGCAAGAATGTTAATTGCAAGATCAGTTTTAAATGAACTTTTTATCCCTGAATTAATTTCCTGACATGTTTCGACACGTTTTCAGGTCTGGACATTAACTCTGTACATTCATTTCAAAGTATGTCAGCTTGGAATGAGATTTAGAGGCCACCAGGCGTTCCTTCAATTAGCAGGGTCCGTTTTCCCGTCTGTCCATCATCATTTACCGGGACTGGTGGCTGCCTTTCCTAGAAAAGTCTTTAGAAGATAAAGTGTGTGTTTTTACTGAAAAAGTTTTTTGAGCTGCATGAGGGCACAGCAGAATAATTTGGCACCTCTGCGCGATTCGGAGAGTCTGCTTGCAGAGTTTGCCAGTCAGCTATTAACTGGAGTGAGCAAAAGAGCGCCTGTTGGATTAACGTTATGGTGAAGTATGGGAAGCTATATTTCATCGCTGTTATGGCTGCAAGAACAAATGGTGTTTATACAGGGACCTTGGCAGTGAGAAAACAGTCATTAAACAGGAATTAAGGAGCTTGTCATCGCCACTTCTTTTCAGTTACAGAAGGAAAAACCCCTCCAAGCCGTTTTTATTGGGCCCCTGTGAATTTTGCGGTCAGCCGGGCCAGATGGAGCTGAATGGAGGAATGGAGTGGCTTTTTTTTTTTTCCACCCCCCCACCCCCCTGTTTTTGAGACAGCTCAGCTTACACTCCAGGCATGTTCAGAGGTATTGCGCTGCTCTCTGTGCAAGGAGATTAATGCCCCTTCTGTTGATATTTGATGATATCTGGCGTGCCTTTCTGCAGGTGACCCCACGAAAGAAGTTCAAATGTCCAGAATGCACGGCAATTGATGGGTTATCACTGGACCAGACACACATGGTGGAAAGGTGAGTGACCACCCTTTCTTCCTCTGATTGCCTCGTTCTGATCCCGGGGATCTTATCCTGTGTCTCATTAATTTAAGTTCAAAAATGCTTGCTGATTGTATTTCTGTAAATTACTGATTTTGAAAGAACGTTGCATGGATTTGATCGGTATAAGCCATTCCTACAATGGATGATGTGACACTGAAAAGTGGACGGCTACAAGAAAGGATTTCAGAAGGGCACAATTTTTAGCAACTTTGCTGTAAAGCATATAGGACACGTGAAATTCAGGTTGCTGGCAGCACTTTCAGTAATACACATTTCTGTTTTACCATGGAACATCAACTGAAATGAGTATGAGATTTATTTTTTTTTAAACCAGAAAGTTGCTAGCTTACCAAAGAGTAACAAGGATATAAATTGATAATGATGTTATTTGAATTGATGTTTGTGCATTGGCTTTCCTCCAAAGCACATTGCTTCCACTAATGAAGGGCATTTGCCTGCACAGTTGCGTGTCAGATTTTTTAACAATGGCATCATTATTATATTTTTTGTGAGAATTTCATTTTGAAATCAAGTATGTATTTGGAAAGGCAGTGAATGTTTCGAGTGAAATCCTGAAAGTTGGTAAGTATAAGAGTTGCATTCCCTGCTTTGCAGTAAAATGGCCTCTCAACCTTGACCAAGACACCAAACTTCTCTCTGCCTTGGCTTCTGAAGGTGTGAAATAAGGGAAAGTTTCTTCACTTTTACAAAGGTGTCCAACACCCATGTTTGAAAAGGGCTATCTGACAATAAATGCACATACTAGTTATTAGGTGGAATTAACCTGAGATCTAGGACTGACAAAGGCATTTCACCTTAGGCTTCTTGAGGTGTTGCATCTCTCCTGCAAACTCTGGGAAAAATAATTTGCAGCCATAGAATTGATGGGGTATGTAAGCAGGGGTAGCTGTAGTGCTGGAAGAGACCGCCTGAAGAGGTGACAAAAAAGAAATTAAATTCTGACCTGCATTTAAAATAGGTAATTTCAGATTTGCACTGAGAGACATAACACAGTTATCTTGTCAGTTACCATGGTTATCATCTTAACAGGGAGCTTTGTTTCTGTCCTTCTCTGCAGGACTCAAGAAGTGTAAAGTGTTGTATCCATCTACTGGCCTGTAGCCATGTGCATGATGTTTATGTCTTGTAATATATGCAGTGAACTAATGCAAAGCTGGTTAGTAGGTTGGGGGGCTTATTTACAAGAAGCGTGTGTAGGTGTGTCTGGTGTGTAACCACACATTACATAACACAAACACCTGTACAGTTTGGGTGGTTGATTATTGCCCGAGCATCATGCCAGGCATTGAAGAGCATAACTGCCAAGGTTAGTGACAAAGTATTTAGACTGGATGTATATGTAAGGCTGGATTAAAAAAAGGAGTATGCAAATCAGATCTAAAACATACTCCATGAAGATGGTAAAAATTACTCTGCAGAAGACTTCCTAAGGAAGGGGCTGGAAGCTTTGTAGACTACCTGAAGCCAGTTGAGCTTTCCTATGATCATCCCAATAGCATTACAACAGCACACAGGAATTTTGGTCGCAAGCTAGGTTCTCATTAAGGTAAACACTCTAAAAACAGAAGATGAAAAAGCACTTTTTGCTCCAGCATGCATTATGATGCAGGGTAAAGGTCATGTTTCCATGTCTATAGCAATTCTTGTTTCCTCAGAGTAAAGTATCATTGACAGTTTATTGGGAACATGTTTAAACTGTTGCTTTGCTTCTCTGTAGTTTCCAGCAGTGGAGGTAACTGGGTTGTGGGAAATATTAGATTGACTGCAGATCTGCATACTTTTATTTGCCCAGCCAAAGGAGCACATCCTGGTATAGAGTCTGGGTGCAGGAGGAAATCGGGGGGGATATAAAGTTTGGGTGTTGTTATTATCTACCTTCAATATGAAGGAGTTATTTGAAAATCTGAAAGGGTTTCTTTTTTGAATCTTCGAAGCTAGCTATTCATTTTAAGTGGATAATAAATGATAGCAACTCCTAGAGCAAATTTTCCTAGCTTGGCAGTGAGTGAGGCTCTTCTGGCTCATATATGTGTGTGTATATATATATATATATACACACACGCACACCCTAGCTCTTTTCAGAATCAGGAGAGAAGCTGAATGGAAGAACAGTCTGCATAAGGGAATCCTTGTCGTGTTATAAAAGAAGAACTTTGTACAGATAACTTTAGAGTGTTGGGTACAGAGAACAATACCTGGCGTATCAGGCAGAAAGCCACCATCAGCTTCACTTGCAGCTTCCCCAAGTGCCTGACTCCCAGTTCTTTAGCATGCAGAAATAGCAAGCAGGTTACCTGCCCGGATACCCAGGGATCATCCTATTGTTTGTGAAGCAAACAGTTTATCAGGGTTGTCGTGGGGCATGCACAACATCTGGGGTTAGGTTTCATTGAGTGTGAGGCTCAGAAGTAGCAGAGAGATGCCCAGCGACTGCCTGACGATGGTTTTGAAAGCATCAAAGGTTTGAGAAGTCACTTGTGGAGATGTGTCCAGAAGAGACGTGTAACTAACCAGTTGTGTTGGGCCCTTTGACGCTCTCAGCAGAGCCAAAGGAAGGATGGTACAGTCGAGCTCTATCTCTTGTGAAGAAGCTTTTTTTGGGTGATACTGGAAGATATTTACAGCAAAACATGGGAGAGCCAACACTGCTATTCTTCCTGCAGTGTAACTTCTCTGAGATAAAGAAAAGGCTTCAGTCCCCAGGGTTTCCGAGCTCCGTCATTAAAACACATTAACTAAAGAAAGCTTGGACGCAAGAGTCCCCTTCATGCCTTTACATCAGGTCACAGAAGCAGCTGTAGGAGGAGCTCTCAATCCCTGTATTTACAGGTGCTGTTTAAATAGCAACACGTTTTCTGCCTTTAGCATCTCTGGATCTCGCTCTCAAAAATGGAGAACTCTGTGAAATGCAGCCTGGAGAGAGCTGCCTGTACAGTAAATCCAGCAAAGGGCTGAGCTGCTTCTGCAGCCACGTGAGCAGCAGTGTCTGATTTAGGACACGGAAATATTTGTTAAAGTCAAAATAGGGAGCCATTCCGTTAAGATGCAAACTGACCAGGTAACAGTTGGCCGAAGGCTGCAGGTGCAGAGTTACCCTGCCAAAAATTATTTGGGTTACAAGGGAGAGAAAACCTCTTAAGAGAGACCTTCACAGACACGAGGTTCACCCCGTCTGCCAGGGGCACCAGGGCTCTCCATTTCTCGGTTCAAACAATCTTAATTCCTTGTTGAGCACAACTGCTTGTTGTCAGCAGAGCAAGGAAAAAAAAGTACTAATTCTTGTATGCAAACGTGCCTCTGTTAGTACAAATTTGCACAGCTATTGACACAGCCAAGAAAAACACCTTCGCTCCATGTTAAAATGACATGTTGTGTTCTCTTTGGTACCTAGCTTTGAACGCTTAATGTTCTAGATATCCTTTCTGGTTTGCGTTGTCCAACAGTGGCAAAGGCTTTGGAATTCAAGTGATTTAGTTCAGTGCAGGAGATGAAACTTTGGGAAAGAGGCGATTTTCCTTCGAACACTTTTTGTGGCTTGTGTATGACATTTCTTTCATCTCAAGAAGCCTGTTTCTGGTTTTTGAATTTGATATTTCCTGAGGACTAGCTTTTCTGATTCAGTTAGGATCTTTAGAACACACTGATTTTTCCATTTTACATTTTTTGTTTCTTTAACAATGAAGTGGTTTCTTGGTGGTTAAAGATATTGTACCGGTATGCTTGAATGGTCTTGCCACCTGAACAAGTTTGGCTGTAGAAAGGTTCATCTTGATATTTTCTTGTAAGACCTCATCTTTGATTTGGGAGTATAACCTCTGGAGGGAAGAGGTCACCTTTGTCTCTGCTATCCTTTTAGTTTTGTCTTTTGCTCTGATGGTGCCGCTTGGTTCTGGTCATGACGATGTGTGATCTGATGTGGACACCTGCCTGCCAGGCGGCGGGCTGAGATAACTAATGCATTTCACACCGGCCACCAAGCAGCTGTTACAGTACAATGTCTTTCAGTCATTACTGGCAGGGGCAGAATTTGAACTAATAAGACTAGAGGTATTCTTGTATTCCCGAAAGCAGCGAGGGCCAGCAGCTGTGCGCGCTCCTCACACGCACATCTCCTTGTTTTCACCTTCTTCTTGCAGATGTTGAGCAGCTACTCGAGTCTCTTTGCTGCAGACCTGACCAAAGGTGGCTCCTTTGCTGTTTAAATCTGTGCTGCCCTGGAGCAAATAGAGCTTGTGCCAGGTCTAGGGATTGCTTCCCACTGCACGTGGTTTCCTCGTATGAGCTGAATTCCTTTTCGTTTGTTTCCCAGTCCAAAGATTTGAATCTGGAGTTAGGAAGAAATATGAGGGGACGAGAAGGTAGCAGAAAGTGAAACATCTGCATTTACCTATATAAATATTGTATTCAAGTATCACCCCGTATGAAGTAGTTTTCTGACACTTTTCTCAGGCCAGATGTCCTGAAATGTGGCCATTATAGCTTGAAGCCGCTCTGTAGAGATGTAGCACTTCAACGACCCAGGCTTTGTGTTTTCCAGTCATTTGTGCTGGTTAAGGTGGGAGCCATGGGATGGCTCAGGGGCTGAAGAATTAGTTTTGAAAACCAGTCTTGCTGTCCCATCTACTTCAAAAGAGCATTTGGGGCAGCGTTGAGCAGTCCCCATCACAAAACTGTCACACTCAGTTGGTGTGATTGACTGGGTCTGATGAAGAAAATTATCCTGGAGCTGGAGTGACCCCCTCACCCTTCCGAGGGGTCGGGGAGGGTGCAGTGGTTGGAGAGCCAGAGACCTGCTCCGGGACCGCCTGCAGCGCGGCAGCCTCCGCGGCTGAGCCAAAGCACTCGTCTGTTCTTTTTATTTTCCCTTTGGAACAGCAAAAGAAATGTGACACATTTTCTTGTAGCTGTATCTGTTATGTGTTGGGGGCCGTTGTTCATGATTCTTGGTGTCTGAAGTTCTTCAAAGCTGCTTTATAAAGGCCACAGCTGATGCTAGCTGAGCGCCGGCTGAGGTGGGATGAGCCGGGTTTTCCCTGCCTGGCTTCCACAGGTACCATGCCCTTCCATGGAAGAGTTAAAGGAAGGTTCAGCATCTGCTTGCTTCTTTTTGAAGCACATGGCTGTTCCCTTCTGCAGCATTACTGACACCTGAGGTTATTCAAACTGAAAGAGTCATCAGTGGTCCGATGGTTTTTGTGCTAATGTGATGCCTGACTGCTCAGTGTCTCTTTATTCAGACAGGGAAAAGAAACTAGCTGGTTTCATTTTACAGTTTTTATTCAGCTTCACTTTTAAGTGAGAGTACAATCAGTGCTGTCTATACACTGAAGTATGTTTAATTTTTGTGGGAAAATAATAGAGCTTCTGAAGAAGCCTGAAATTTTTTTTTTTTTTTTTTAGAACTCCATTTTCACAAAGGCTTGGGTTTTGGAAAACCTTTATTATGAGCCAAATTGAGCCAACAGCGGCCCTTTAAGAGACATGTTGGCAGTTAATCTGTTCTGGTTTACAGCATGTACATTGCTTTAAGAATGACTGGAATTCTGGGGGGAGGGAGAAGGGAAGGTTTGACCTCCATGTGCACATGTGCTGCTGCCAGCATCCCCTAGCTTGTCTCTGTGATTAAATGGATAAATCAAAGAACACCAGCTTCTTTTCAGTTCTCTCTGCAGTGAGGCTTTCTTTTTATTTACTAGTAGCCAGCACGGCTGAAATACTTCCAAGCGCAAGAGGGAAGGTTTCTACCGGTTGTGTTGTTGTAGCCAGCCCGGTTGTTGGGGTTCTTAATGACACTGCTTTCCCTTTCACCAGGTCTGAATGCATCAATAAGTTTGCCTCTGTCTTTGGGACCATGCCTCTGAAAGTGGTGGAGCACCGTGCTGACCCTGTCCTGTACAAAGATGACTTTCCTGAGAAACTGAAGAGCTTTCCTAATATCGGCAGCTTGTAAAGGCAGCTGTCAGACAAAGCTGAGGGATGAAAGTGATAGCCAAAAAGGTGCTACAAGGAATATAAGGCCCTGAAGAAACAATTGCTAGAGAGCGGGTTCCATCTGAGGGAGAAGGGAATGAGTGTTGTGTTCGGGTATGTATCTTCCCTTTACGTTGAACAAAGATGTGATGGAAAGCTGAACAACTGCTTCTGTTTTGCTCACGGAAGATTGAATCTATTCATGGGTCCTCCCAGAAATGTCAAACACACAGCTTTCTCCAACGGAGCCTGTGCACCTGGAGGAATAAAACGGATCTCACTCTCTGTGGTCTGACTGATGTGACTGACCTCTTCTATCCAATGTGCTGCAGCTCTCTGGTTTGTACGCGTTCATCCATTCCGAGCAGCTGTCCGCAACGTAGAGCTGCTCTCTTTTGGGAGCAGCTTACTGCCCGTGCGGCTGGTGGGCCTCTGGCTTTTCAGCGTAATTGTTGGCTTATCTAACTGAGTAACAGACTTTTTTTTTTCCTGCATAGTGAGGCAAATGTTTATTTTTTTACATCATCAACAACAAAAATGTGTGTGTTGTCACATGGTTTAAAGGGCAAAGTATTTGTTTTACTTCAATTATTTTGGTGCGAATTGAGACACAGGGCAGCTGGGAGGATGGGCTCCTTCAAAGCAGAGACCTGCAGGACAGAACTCCAATTGCTGCACTTCTTTTGTAAATCTCAGGTTTTCTGCCGTGTCCATGCAAGAGGCTGTAACTCTGCGTCAAAATTAGTTGTGTTGTACAAAAAAAGATGCACCTTTCAGTCTTACTTTATTTTGCTTTTCATTTTCAAACCAGAGCAGTCAGGTTACAGCTTTACATGGTAGCCATATGTTGGAACAACAACTATGAAGTCAGGTTTTTAATGTCTGAATCCTCTTCAGCAAGCAGTGTGTTGTAGTACTGATTGGTGAAACACTTCGATTCACAGAAATTCCCACTTACAGCTTCAATGTGCAGGGCTGTGTGTACATGCAAAACACTGTCAATGCACACTTACAAACTCCTCTAAAATTACCATTGCTGGAAAATCTGCTGAGTCTTTGCTTGTAGCTTAACTAAGGAACTCTGTTCCAGCTCCGCTGACAGAATGTTTGTTAGGAGGTTTGGTAATGGGCTGACAGGACTGTGGGTGATGTGACTGTCTTTTGAAACCACTGCTGTCAGTTAGAGACACCCTACTCGGTGGGGCTGTTTTTCTGTTACACCACGAGCAACCTTCTTCCTCAGATTTTGCCAAACCCCAAACAATAGGACAAGTGTTAGGCATCACGGTTCACCCCCTCTCCTGAGCTGGATAGGCAGCAATGACAGAAACCAAATGAAAGTCAGGCTAGAAACAGGAAACATCTGCTCCTATTTGTCTCACCCCCACTAAGACTTATCTTATTGCCCAACGCGGTGGATGTGCTGTGAATGAAAATCATATTGGAACAATAGCTCGGAGGGGATGCTTCACTTCATAACTCCTCTGGGATGTGCCTGTAAACTGGATCGTCTGATTTTCTGGGAACGTTTAATTACTTATAAATGGTATTTATTTTTTTTTTTTTTCCACTGCAGTCTTTGTTTCATTCCTGACTTGCTGTGGGCGGGGGTACTGGGGAGCTCGGAGGATAGCTGTGGCAGTGACAACAACTGCTCTCTGCACAGGGGATATCACAAGAGAAAGGAAGGTTTGTTGCCTGCTATTTCTCCTTTGCAGCCTCTGAGGTTCATTCACATGAACTCTCTTTCTGAATCTTCCTGTTGCTTTATGGCCTGGTGCTTGAGCATCAGGAGATAGCAGCAGATTTCCCTTGACGTCTTCCTTACACAGAGTTGCGAAGCTGCTCTGATTTCTTCGTTCTTTTTCAGTAGGACAGTAAAAAGTACACATTTTGCACAGAGTCTTAAAGGACACTTTTGGGTGAGGACAACCTAACCAACCCTCCTAAACTGATCAATAGTCTCAGTTCAGGAAAAGGCAACAGGTCCTTGTGCCTACATCCCAAAGCATCCGAGCAGATTCCCCTTAGAAAAAATGCCCAGTGGCCCCTATCGATCATGGTTTGTCCTTTGGTGTTTTACAGAGCCATGGTAATTTGTCTCCATTTTGTGCCATGGAGAAAATTGGGCAATTGCCTGTAAAAAAAAAAATTTGTAAAATAGCCTACTTCTCCTCTTATGTTTATAATTCTGATGTTCTCAATGCAAAAATGTGTAAAGATAAGGTGTATCTGTATGTCTGATTTGGAACGGGTTTGTTGTCAATCTTTAAGATCATTGTTAACTTTTCATTGTATATATGTTATCAAAAAAAGGTTAATATTGGTATATTAAAAAGTAAATCCAAGGAGCATTTGTTGTATTTCACTTCTGGAGCTGCACAAGGAAACATGGATTTATTGAGAAGGGAGAATTGCAGTGACAGGCTGTTTTGCTACATAAATCTCTGTTAAACTCGAATATCCACAGTGTGCTTTAGAATGTCAGTGTTTTGTCTTTCCCATCACTGGCGTTGGATGGTTGTCTTTGAAGTAGAAGTTTGCTCTGCACGAATTCATCCCAGTCACCTTTTTGGAGAGAGTAGTTGTTACTCTAATTTTCTGCCAAGCTTTGACAGTAGCATTTATCTTGGAGAAATAGGGAACAGATCCTTTCTTTTTTTGTGAAGAGAGACAGCAAACATTGAGGAATTGTGCTTTGGAGACAAGAGCTTTGGCTGAGTTACGGAGATGGTGGAATTCGGGGCGGTGGCAGCCCTTTGTTTCCAGGAGGGCTGCAGCACAGTCCCCGTGGAGCCCGTGTGTGCGGAGCGATGGGTGTGATGTGCCCCAGCGCTTGCCCTGCCAGTCGTGGTGAGTCTTCAGGGTACATTTTTAGCATTACTAACCCTCCCTACAATGTGTTGACTCTTTCCTTCCTCGCAGCTCCGCTATCTGATTACAGGACGTGCCAGTTTCAAGCCCTGATGTTATGACTCTCTCCTGCCACCTCCAGCTCCTGCTCTTGAACCTCCTGCCATCCATCGAGCTTCTGCTGGGGTGGTTCAAATCTGCTTCACTGCAGCAAGTAGTTTATCCCTGGCAATTATCAGTTCACAGGCCTTTTAAACTCAAGAGCCTTGGAGATACAGATACAAAATAATAGTGGGGTGGGATTTAAAGGATGCTCGGCACTTTGGACTTGTTTTGCTTTTAGGTTGTATTGGGAGTGTTGAGCACTCTGGAAGAACGCTATAGTGAGAGACCCGAGAGTGCATTTAGGTGGGCAATTTTAATGTTAAAAATACCTTCCAGATTTGGCATGAATGCCCTCTGTCATGCATCACAGGTAGAGCACCTTGTGATGAGGAAAGCCCTCAGAATGGTTAATGAGTACTGCATCCATCTGCTGTCCAGCCCTTTCACATGGGAGCTGCTGTCCTAACAGGACTACAGCGCAACACAGGGAAGAAAAACTGAAGTGCATGGTGCCAGTGAGAAAATGGATTTTAAATGCCTTAACCAGAGAGAAGACAGAGTGAGTATGATTTTTTTCATCATTCTTCTTAAAGACTTGCTTGTTTAAATTTTGCTACAAAGCACGTTCTTTTGTAAACTAAAATGTGAACTGCAGGTAGGTCTTGCAGTCATGGATAGGCTCCTCCATGTGCTTAAAGCAAGAAAAGAACATTCTGCAAAGTTATGTTAGATTAAATATATGCTAGAAAGTGAGCATCCAGTTGTTCCAGTTGGTCCAGTTACTGGCTTCTGTCTGATCCTGAACAGCTGGGAAGAACAGAGCAAATACTAGGCAAATGTTCCACGTATATTGTCTTTTCTTTTTAATTTTTAGTCTGGAAAAAATAATTTCTTTCAAAAACTGACAGAAAAAATCCAAACACATTGTTCTTGGCATGTTTCTGTAGGATCTGAAAGTTTATTCAGACGTCTTGCTAACATTGGTGTGTAAGGAGAGGTGGCACTTGCCTAGCAGAAAATCACCTACAATACTTCTGCATTACTGTTAAGTCACGGATCCTCCAGTTGTGTCTCAGGCCGTTGGGAGCGCTGTGTAGGATGGTGTAAGTTATTTTTATGATGCTTGCCACTGCTGTATCTGAGCACAATAAAACGAGCTCCACAGTCCTCCTGCTTGAGTAGGATCAGCATCTTCCCTGTTACTACTGCACGTAAGCAAACAGAGAGAAGCTGTGTGGGTAAAACCAGGACTGAACACCAGCACCCCAAGCCCGTGTTTCAGCAAAATGGCCCTTCTTTGTCTGACCTCTTGGCTGTTTCGAGTTTTGGGTAGCTCAATACCAAGGTAGAGGACCGTTAGCCTTGACTTTGAGTGTCGGCGTGCTGCAGCCTGCCCTGGCTTGAAGCCATTTAGAGACATTCCTGGTGCGCTCTGTGTAATTTCAGCCTGATGGGAATGGCTGTAATACAGCCCCACCTCTGCTGATCTTCAGGATTCCCCTGTCTGCATCTTCTTGTGGTTGCTTTGAAAGCGAGTTATGTTTCCCATTAAGGGATAACAGCGACAATTGAGGCAATTAAGTGGCGTGGCATGGAGCTAGCAGCACGCGGGGAGTTTTCTGACTGCAAACAGGCAAGTGTGGCTCTCCCTGCGAGGTTGCCTGTTGGCTGTCTTCATCTGTCTGGAAAAGGATCCAGGAATTCTTCAGATTTCCTTTACTCGTTCTAAATGCCTGTTTACTCGCATAAATAGGAAGCATTCCCGTTCCAGACAAGCAGGACAACTCTGCAGTAACTGTGGGCTAAGTTAAATCCAATTTGGTCACAATTTCGTTGGGTCTGTGAACTTGGATCGGTGCTCAGAACCCGACTGTATGCAGGGGGGAAGACAACAAATGGGCAAGGGGAGAACCAGGTACCTATAAGGAGAAGTAATCCGTGTTGTAACTATTTCTAGAGAGTCGTAAGAAAAAGAAAATACCATCTTAATTATTAAGTCATATCTATTGGATTTTTATCCTAAGTTTTAGTCGGTGGGGGACTGGAAAAAGGTGAGAGCTGGACCGTTTGACCAACAGAGGTATGAAGAACTCGGGATATACAGACCTGCACGAGGTTCCCCATGTGTGATGATGGGATGTGGCTGCGGTTGCAGCCTGTGCTCTGAAGGATGAAGCTTATCTCCTCTGCCCCGCGCCCCCGTTCTGTGCAGCAATGCGAACCTGGAAAACTAAAAGCCAAGCCTGGGACTGACTGAAAAGTGCCGCTGGAGGATATCCACCTGTCCCGTGTGAGCACATCACTTCTCCTGCTCGTCCAGCAGGTGA